GTTTCCCTTTCAGACTGAGAAAATATTCTGAAGTCTTCAGAAACTGGATGGCGAGTGGCCAAAAGTGCAATCTACAAAGTCAGGAGAGGTCAAGAGCACAGGCCTGCGGTCAAGTCCTGGCTTTGTCACTTGCTAGCTGTGTGACCTGAGACAAGTGACCACTCCTCTCTGAGCCTTAGTTTCTTTCTCAGGAAAATGGAGTGCTATGAGGAGCAGATGAAGTACTTGATGTAAAGACCTTAGCCTGGGGCCAGGCCCACCTGGAGTACTCAGTAGAGGTTACCCAGCAGAATGATTTTAAAACTTGGGCTTGTCACAGAAGGCCTCTTCCCCCCAACTAAGCTGATTCTCTAGGGTCAAAATTGACTTCTGTTCCTCCAGCCACATTCTCTTATCTGGTTTCTCTTTAATTTTAGACACTCCTAGTGAGATTTCTAGGTAGAACCAGGACCAGCACCCTGTGGCCAGTGCTGTGTGACCCTGGGCAAGTTGCTTCACCTCTCTGAGCTTCAGTTCCCTCATCTATAAAAGGGGGCTGAAACCACACATTCTACTTAGAGAGCCGAATTCATGCAAGCTCTGAGGAGGTGACTGTGCTGAAGGTAATCTAAGAAACCGAGTGCCCTGCAGTGGAGAAGTTATCAGAGCGCAGGGCGAGGTGGGCCGGCTGGTCCAGATGGATGCTTGGACCAGGGACCTTGGCCTCTTTAAAACCCTCCTTCAGGGCAGCAAGCTGAGCAACCTGGATATCTTCTGACATGCAGCCGTTTAAAGGGACCGCTCCCAAATGCAGCAGGCCCAGGAAGTTCCTGGATTTCTCTTCCTTACGCATCCTCATGCTGCCACCACCTGCCAGGGCCACCGCCCCCCGGGAGGAAGGGATGAGCCTGTGTCTAGAATAAACATCACTTCTCCCCCACCTCAGGGCCAGCATCCCCGAACTACAGGACCAGGGATGCCTCAGGAGAGAAAGGGGCAAGACAGAGCCAGAGAGTAAGTCTGTGTCCACGAGGAGAGGACGATGGAAGGAAGCACATGCGGCCAAGAGAATGGGAGAGTGGGGGGCATTACTGAGGACCAGCGATGGCTGCAGCCTCGGCTCGGGCCCCAGAAGGTGGGTGTGACCTGGATGTGGGGCTCCCGGCCTGGAGGGCAGCTGGCCTCATGGTCACCTGTCCATCCAGCATCCAGGATGCCAGTTCTGACCCCCACCCCAAAATGCAGCCCGGATGGAGTGGCCCCTGGGAAGATGAGTCATTTCCAGGCAGCCTCGTGTTCCAAGGGGCTTGCACCCTCCCAGGCCTGCCAACTCCGAGAGTGACCCCAAAGAATCCTCTGTCTCCAGGCTTCCATTTCCTGACTTGGGACGCTGATTCTCAATGAGGCACTTATTTCAGCCGCTAGGAGGCAGTGTGGCAATTTGTGAGCGCACGTTGGGTTGTTACGACGATGGTGAGAAGGCTCCCGGCATGACAGTGGGAGGGAGGTGGCCTCAGGGGTGGTGGATACCCTGCTACGCCAGCGACAAACCCACATAAAGAAGAAAGGTCCTGGCTGCCTCACGACCTTTGGACATCCACACAGATAAAAAACAGGCTTAAATTCCTGAGCCACAGTCCCAATGTGGGCTTATGTATAGATAGGGCTTTCAGGCAGACTGACTTTTCCACACATGCAACTGTTGGGTAAATCAAAGAAAGACAGGACATCGTTTTATTGGGAGTCGTTCACCATTTTGGAAAAGCACGTCACCAAGGCGACACTGCTGGTGGCATTTGAGTTGCCAAAACCATACACCTGTGGCAATCCGCATTTGATGCTGTCGTGTCTACAGCAATTCTGTGTCTAGGGGCAAACGTCTGACCATTTTGGTGGAGTCTGGCCTGAGCACTGATATATTCACTGATAGGTTCTGGTATCATAAATTACTTTTATGCTCCGTCACTTTTATCTTACAGTTAGGGCATTATATTGGTTAAAAAGTGTAAAGCGTGGGTAGGTTATATGATCCCTGAATTAGCACCTGGTTAGTAAAGGATAAAATAGTTTAAAAATATTTGTTAAAAATGGGGGGCTTTGAGTCCGGCACGGTGAGCCACTGAGCCAGGGGGGCACCCGCTATTATTAAATATTACTCACCCTTAGAACCACTCACCTTAGTGGGGTTCATGGAGCCCTTACTCGCCCTGGGTCACTTTCTCCCGAACCTGACTGCCCCCAGAACGGTATTTTCTGCTCCTTTTGCTCAGACAACTGTGCTGTGTGCAAGGCTGCCGCGAGGTAAATGGAGGGAGGACCGTGATGGAGGAGGGCAGGCGGAGAGCTCAGATGCAGGTCTGCCAGAGCAGGACCCCAAGTCAGAGCGGCCTGTCCCTCCCTCGTCCTCGGGCAAGCAAAGGCTGCTGCCCCAAGATGGTGTTGGAGAGGCCCCTCGGGGTCGGGCTCCCGTTAAACTCCTTCCCACTCCACGATCCTGTCCGCGCCCGGCGCCCTGCACCTGCCCTTTGTGTCCCGGACTGTCGGCTGGGAGAGGGCCACACTGGCTCCTTGGAGGGGAGGGCCCAGCTCTCAGCGATGGGAGGGACTTGTCCATACCACACACGGGGAGTCAGACTCCTGGGCGGGTGGGGGTGTGACAGAAACAGAGCCCCCGGGAATTCTGATGCTCAGCAGCCCATGCCCACTCAAGAATCAGAAGCAAGCGTATGGAACATTAGCTACTGTCAGGATTCAGCTGCCCGTGGGGAGGGGACTGCCCTCTCAAGGCAAGAGGGCCCCCTTCAGTGTCCCACTGGTCCTCGTGCGAGAGGCGGTGTGAGGGTGAGGAGGCATACATAGGATCGGGAGGGAGGGGTCGTGCCCATGAGCCTTTGAGGAGGGCCTTTCAATGCCCCCGGACAACAAGACCAACGATGGGTGCTGGATTTTACAGCTGCTTTGCAATTGAAGTCCATGGAATGAGACCCGAGGGGCTGCTGGCGGCCCAGAAGCTACATGGAGACTAAACATGCCACCTGCGCTGCTGCTGTAGGGACCCCTGGGAGGTGGCAGCCGCCCTGAGGGCTGGGGTCTAGCCTGGGTGGCCTCCTGTGCTGGTCATGCGTGAACCAGGCCCCAGATCTCTGCCAGCCAGGAGAACCCCGAGGACTGATTCTGGCCCCCAGCTCTGGAAGTGGACATCAGGGCAGCAGGGGCCTGGTCCGTCGCCCCACCAAGAGGGTCCCACCACGTCCTGTGCACCGGGGTCAAGACTCCCTGTCTGCCGACTCATGGACATGGGACCAAAGGTGTGTGGGGGACTCCAGGTGACCCCAGGGAACTCGAAGAAGAGAGAAGGAGCAGGTTGGAGGGCGGGGCTCAAAGGGCAGGAAGTCACCTTGCTTCCCCTCTGCCCAGGGGCTTCCAGCAGAGCCTCTTCTTCCTACTGGGGGGCTCTGGGGTCTTGCTGGAATCAGCTTCCTTTTTGCCCAGGTGTGGGACATTGGGCAAGCCCAGAATGTAATGGGGGCTGAGGTGGGCCGCCATGGACTTAGAGGCCCGCCAAAGGGCAGTTTTGGGGCTGCCCCATCAGGAAGGAGGACTGGATCCCACTCAGTTCCCCAAACACCCCAGGTACTCTCGCACCCCAGGACCTTGGCACCTGCCGTTTCCTCTGCCTGGAACGCTCCTCCTCCACAAAGTTGCAAGGCTCCCTTTCCCCATTCTCTGAGGGTCTTCCAATGTCGCCTTCCTAATGAGACCTGCCCAGACTCCCTATCTGAAATTCCACGCTGCCCAACACTTCCTACCCCATCCCTGTTCTGGGTACCTCCTTAGCACGTATCACGCATGGACTACCTATTATGCCTCTTCATCTTGTTTATTCTTTGTCTATTTCATTCACTGCTCCATCCCTGGAGCCCAGAAGTGTCGGGCACACAGTAGGTCCTCAACGAACATTTGGTAAATGAATCAATGCAAGGCCTGCAAAGCTATTTATTTATTACAGGCCCCCGAGGGACTTCCTGGTGACCTCTAAATGTTCTTGGGACACTCGGGGTCCTTGGGGAGGGGGTTGGGGAATCTTGGCCTGGATTTCTGGGTGGCCCCAGACCTGACTTGGCCCCAGAGCCACCTCCCTCTACAGTCAGGGGTGGGTAGGAAGGGACTGCCGAGACCCACCCTGGTAGCCCTGGGGGCTGTGGGGTCAGTGCTAGACCTGAGATGACAGTGAAAGGAGGCAGAAAGGATCTTCTCTCTCTCTCGTACCTCCTGATCCACCAGTCTCGGACCACCTGGCCCAGCTGCCGAGCCTTCCCAAGAGGAGCTAGAATCGCCCACTGTGCTGCCAGCTCTCCTCCCCCACAGAATCAGAAAATGCCAATCTGGCAAACACAGAGGGGCTGGTACCCAGTTCTTTGAGTTCTAGTATCAGCTCCCGCATGATCTGAGCAGGGCCGCTGCTCTGGGGAGCCGGGGCCAATTCCCTACTCTGATTCCATTCCCTTCCTTTAGAACCGCCTTGCCCTCGACCTGCTGTCCCAGGGAGAGTGCTGGTTCAGGCTGCGGGTTGCCCAGCACTCAGCTCGTCCCCTCTCTGTTCTCAGAGCCCTGGCATCCACTCCATGCCGGGGTCTGCCATGCACACGTGCCTCTCACTCCCTGGGTGACCCCAGGGAAGGCCCTCCTGCCCCAAACCTCAGTCTTGTCACCCGTGAAATGCAGATTGTGAAAAGATCCACCTTGTGGGGTGGCTGGAGGATTAGATGGGAAAAAGACCGGAAGACGTGATGTGGGCTGCCATGATGATTAGCTCCGGGATTTGTGGCAAGAGGAACATCCTAGGAGCTATGCCCACTCCGCTCTTGCAATTGCAATTTTAAGGGAAAGAGGCAAGGGAGGCGAGTGGCCGTGCCTGTGCAGACGTCTGGGACAGCTCAGGCTGGCTTCTGGGCTGTGAGATGGAGTTCGGGACGTGCCTGTGCCCAACACACACACACACACGCATCAGTGGAGCTTACCTGTCAACCTGGACTTCTGCATCTTTTGTCTCCATCTTGGCAGGTCCCCCTCCATTGATGCCTTTGCCCCCACTGGCGAGAAGGCTCAGCACAGGCTCTATCTCTCTGAGCAGTTCATTGTTCTTCCCGCTGCCCTGGAGGGCGATCCCGGCACTTTTCTTGGCAGGCTCCTGGCTTGAGGGCCTGGGAGCCAGGCCGTTGGTGTGGCAGAGCGAGCCAGCTTCCTGTCTATTGTCTTGGGCATGCTGTGGCCCATTGCCAGGACCTGTGGCCCCATCCACGGTGAGTGGCTGCTCCTTGCTGGCCGATGGCTGGTGGGACAGATCGATGGCTGCAGTGGGGGGACCCAGGGGCCGTGTCACACGGATGGTCTTAGGGGTCCCGTCTCCAGTGAAGGTGGTCTCCAGGTGCGTGGTGAAGCCCTCAGGACCCCTCAGAATGAGGACCACGTGGGTCTCGGAGGCAATGCCCCTGAGGACCTCCAGCGCGCTGTCATAGCTCAGGTCCACCAGGGGCTGGCCATTGACAGCAAGAATGATGTCTCCAGCCTGGATGAGGCCGCTCTGCTCCGCGGCACCCCCTCGAATCAGGTCTGAGATGATCACGGGCGGCTTGCTCACCCGCTCCTTCACCAAGAATCCCAGGCCCCCCACTTTGCGCTTGAAGAGGCGGACGGAGATGACATTGGGTTGGATTTGTTGAACACTAAACATGTGATTCTCCATGGCATCCAGTGTCCAAAGGTCTGACGACCTCCAAATATGTCAAGCCAAGACCGTTTCAGCAGGAGGAGCCAGGCTTCAGGCTGTGCAAAGAGAAGGAGCTGGGGGCCGGTGCTGCAGGGGCTGCAGGAGCCTGGAGAGCGAGCTGCTCTGGGGCTTTGGTCTTCTCTGTCTTTGACGTCAACTCGGCGTCATCCACTCATTGCTGTTCGGCCGTCGGTGGCATGATCTCATGCGTCTGCCTCCTTCCCTGTTCTCTAAGGAAGCGATGGTTGATCAGGCAGACGTCAGGAGAAGCAGTGGGACGTGTCCCTAAGCGACAGGCCAGGCGGACTGGGGAGAAGTGTCTGGTGGATGTGTCTAGATGTGTCTAGAGGTGACGCATGCTAGTGTGGACTCTTCTCTGGGCATCGCCAGCCCACTAGATGCAGATCAGATCTGGGGCTTCCTGAGCTGAAGAGAAGGAACAGGGAAGGGATGAAGAGAATTAAAAAGATTGATGTGGAGTGCCCAAACCACCTTCAAAACTAAGATGGAAAACGCAGCCAACTGAGAAGTCTAGCCATGAGATGCTCTGGAGTTTTGAAGCCAACACAGAAGTGAAATCCTTCTTCCTCGAGGGAGAGACCTCCCCAGTTAGCTGCAAATTGCCTGGTTTCATCAAAGCCCTCCGAGACCAAGGGTCTCCCTGGGGAAACCACTGACAGTCAGCCCCAGAAATCAGATGGCAAGAGTCATAAGACCTCTCTTATCTCTTTCCTACCGCAAGAAGTCACCACTCCAACTTGTCACGCGACCTTTGGCTCAGTGTGTTTCACAAACATTTCCCATTCACAGGTCAGGAGCTCAGCTGACACTGATCTTTGGGCTCTCCATTTCGGCCACACTCCAAGCCCTCGCAACAAACCTACTAGAAGGTGAATGATGCCACCTTCTGAGGAACCACCGACGAGCAATGTCAGTTGGCCTTTATGACCATTTTTGTAATTATTGACTTATTTTGGATTCAAAAGGACAGATTTGGCCACATTACAAACTATTATAAACCATATTTTGTGTAGTAATTACTAAAGATGTGGGTCCACACAAAACTCTGGAGGACATCTCTACTCTGTAGACCGCTTGAGACCCTAATGGAGAAACATTAGGAAGAGTGGACTGAGTACCCCTAGCGTAAGGGCATAACAGGAGTTCAATGAGTGTTTACTGAATGAAGAAGAAAAATCCCCAAAGACTAAACATAGCAGACACTGATTGAGTACATAACGCTCTTAATGTATATTTTTTTCTCCTTTGATCTGCACAGTAACAGACAAAAAGACCAACCCTGGGAAGGTTCCGTCACTTGTCCAAGGTCACGTGGAGAATGATGACAGAGGGAGGATCTGAACTCAGGTTGGTCCTGCTCTTGGGCCCGAGCTTTTAAAGTTCTACTCTAGTTTTTAAAATTTTATATTCCAGTTATTTTTGCAATTCCCACCAGCTCCCCCAGGCTCAGGGAAATGGGGTATACGGTTGGGGTACCAAAGGCCACCAGGAGGCCCAGTTGGAGACGCTGTGGCCCAGGTGAGGTGTGTGCACCTGTGGCATGTACACGGCGGGCAGCTACGTAAGTGTGTGTCAGGTGTCTGGGCTGGGGCAGGTGAGCTCTGGGTGTGGGTGGAGTGGGGGCGGGTAGGGGGCAGCAGAGAACCCCTCCGTCTCTTTTCCTATCCCCCAGCTAAGTTCCAGTTCCCCCTCCGTCTCAGCACCCCTTTCTGTCCTCATCCTCACTAGGAGGGAGCCCCCATCTGCCACCACTAACAAAGTGACACTCTCTCGCTTCCCTTTTAGTGAATTCCCGGGGTCACCCCAGGGCTGAGGCAGCTGACAAGCTCCTGCTGCCTCTTGAGAGTGGGAGGTGGGTGCAGACATCCCCCCCGCCCCTAGAAGGAGGTGCCACCTCCTAGATCCCCCCAGGGCGGGCTGGTTAGTAAGTTCAGCCTCCGTCTTTTGCAGCTTGCATTACGTAACTCCGCCAGCCCCTCTGTGTGGGCGAGAGAATAATGACTACCCGGGCCCAGCCCAGGCTGCGTTCTCCATCTGGCGTCGCTGTGTGTGTGTGTGGTTTTTTTTTTTTCCCTGTGTATTCATGCATCGCCCTCATGCTGTGTCATTTCTCTGCTGTGTGTGTGAGCGTGTGCGGTCCGTGTGTCGACCGGCTGAGTGTCTTTCAGCGTCTTGCTGCTGGGGTCCCGGTTTGCAGAGAAAACCATCCAGAACCACTGAGCTCTTCCTCACTGGGGAGGACTGGTCCACCTCCCCCACCCAGCCTCCTTAACTCTCCCTGAGCTCCATTTCTTCCCGGATGTTCATCGTTAAGCTGGAGACAGAGGTAGCTGGGACCTCCAGATCGCTCTTGAGTGTCCAAGTCTGACACTGGGCTCTGCTCTTTAATTAAAGGACCTGAAGGTGAACTCTTCGGGAGGCGAGGCCCTCCAGCTCACGTCTTCCACATGTTGCCTTGGGCCAGGCCTCACCCAAGGACAGAGGCTGGACTTGGCTTACGAAAAAACGAAAAAAGAAATAAAGCAATCCAGAAACCTCCTCAGCCACTCTCAGCTTTTCCTCTCTCTTTCTCAGCTTCTTTCTAAATCAGAGAGGGTTGTTTGCTGGTGCTTGGGAAATTGGGGTGCTGTTTCTCAGATTTTGGCCCTAGAAAGGCAACTTGATCTTTGGAAGGGATTAGAAAGAGGCTGGGGGGGAGGAAGAGAGGGAGAGAGAGAAAATAGTTGTGTGTTGAAGTAAGTGGATTCTGAGCATGGCCAGGGTCAATCACAGACCTAATACCCATCCCACAACACCAGGCCTCCCTCCTTTCCATTCCCAAAGCACAGCCTCATCTGCTGCCATATCTGTATCCTGACCAGGGTCAGGTGTGATGAGCCCATTTTACAGATGAATAAATCAAGCTGCTACATAAGCTGGAGACCCACTTGTCCCAGCTTGTCCATGTCCACTGTCCAGGAGCCGCCTCGGTCCTGGGCCAACCGGGACGGCTGGCCCCCCTTCTGCCCCAGGGAACATTTTAAAGCCCCTTCTGGCTCTATCTGTGTGTTTCTGGGTGAGTTCTTTATTTTCTCTGAACCTCAGTTTCCTTATCTATACATGGGGTCACAGAAATGACCACCTCCCTGGGTCACCGGGGGAGTGAACCGAATGGTGAATGCAGAGTACTCAATGCAGAGTACTCAGCAAAGGCACAGAGTGCATGCTCCGAAGAAATGGCTTCCTGTCATTGTTCTATAATATCAACTAAGTCCGGCTTCCTGGCTTTTAATTCAGCGCGCTTTCTACTCCATCACAGTCTCGCCAAAGGGACTCAAGGTGCCATCTAGAAGGGGGCCCTTTTCTGGAAATCACACTGAGGAATCTCGCGCTGGTCACGGTATTGGGCATTGAATGAGGGAGACGGGTGTAGAGTAGCATATGCTGCCAACCCAGCCTCTGCCCTTTGGAGCTGTGATTTTAAACAAATCACGTGCGTGTACACTCCAGAGTACATGCCATGGAAACAATACTTGGCCCCAGGCCTCGTTCGAGTCGTTCAGTGGTTTTGGGTGTATTTATTTCATTTACCTTGCTGCAAGGAAATTAGTGGCTGGCTTTTGGAGATGAATGCCAGTGAGAAGGAAGGAGCCAAAATAGGCCAGCGTCTGCTACTACTGTCTCGCTGTGTGACCTTGGGCGAGCCGCTCCCCATCCTGGGCCGCGTTTGTGCAACCGGAGGAATGGTCATGGCAGCAGTTTTGAGGGCTCGAGAGTCTACTGTGTGCTGGCCATGGCGCCAAGCCCTCTGCATGGATTTCTTTAATCCTGACAGTGACTCTATGAAGTGAGTGCTGTTTTTATCCCCAGCTGACAGACAGACGAGCTGACTAAGGGTCAGAGAAGGAAAGTGAGGAGGTGGCCCTGGGTTTCAGCGAGTGGATTCTGAGCATCGCCAGGGTCAATCTTAATCCTAATAACAACCCCACAACCCAATGCCTCTGTCCTTGTCATCCCCAAAGCACAAATACTGGCTGCGGTATTTCTCATCCTCACCCCGACCGAGGTCACGTTTGATTGTGCCCATTTCGCAGATGGAGAAATTAAGCTGCCACAGGGAGACCCACTGGTCCTAGCTTGCCCATGGCTTTCCATTTTTAGCACTGAAACTTGGAGGGGTCAGGATGAAGTTAGGCTGAAGTGGAGCCATCAAGCCAGCCCAGTCCAGCTCCCCCATTCAAAGACGAGAAAAAGAGGCCTGGAGACGTGAGGGCTTTTTTCCACATGGATCAGTGACAGTCGGGTAGTCTAGAGCCCGGCTGTCCAACAGGACATGTGGCCAGCGACCTCCTGAGCTGGGGCTGGTTCCACTGACGTTCTGTAAGAGGCAAACACACCTTGGGTCTCAAAGAATCGCATGAAAAAAAAGAACATGAAATATCTCAATAATTCTCCAATATCGATTACATGTTGAAATGATAAATGTTTTGGATACACTGAGTTAAGTAAAATTATGAAAATTCATTTCACCTGTTGCTTTTTCCTCTTTTTAAGGCGACTACTATGAAGTTAAAAAATCACACATGGGGCTCCCATTATATCGCCACTGGGCAGCGCAAGCCTAGAGTCTGACCTCCTGCCTCCTGGACCAGAGCTCCTCCCCGGATCCCACTGTCCTCAGGTCCCCTCGAGAACCTACCGATGACTTAGCCAGACAGAGGATACTTCATCTTTCTAATGAGACTAGAAAAATGACACAGAAGCTTAGCAAACACCTCAACGCTTTTAGAGTTTGACCACTGGAAATAGACGTGAGAGGGATAAGAGGGAGGACAGAGAAAGTCCACCTAGAACCACAAGAAGAGAAAGGAACTGGAAGGATGTCACCTGGATGAACGAACAGTCCAGGATCGAACATCCTGCGGTCCAATGTCACCTGAAATCTAACCCATCTGTATGATGAACGTTTCTTTAAAAAGAATGAGGCAGATCTCTACATACAGGTAGGAAATGAGCTCCAAAATATACCATTAGGTGATTAAATGTGTAAATGCTGCACACGTAAATGCAGAGAATATTCTAGAAGGAATGGGTATCAGTGGTTGCATCTTACAAGGAATACGAGAAGTCAGAAGTCAGAGGCAGACATACTTTGCACTACAATACTTTTTTTTCTATTTGAATATCACTAAAATTTTTTTTATCACGTGTATTACCTTTTAAATGAACAATATTAATGCAAACGGCCCACCTGTGAACTCCTGCTATCTTCAGTTCACACACCCACAAAAGCTCTGATGGAGTTACAGTCCTATTTCCCATCTCCCTCCAATCTCATTTAGAAACAAATACCAAGTCCTCCAGGTCTGAAAAACAAAACAAAATACTGCCACCCCCAACATAAACAAAAGACCAAAACCATAACC